AAACTAAGGGAAGGAATTATACGAAAGTAATTTCACATTCACTAAATATCTTTTATGAGGTATGAATGAACAAAATTACTTCAGAAATCAATTTAGATTTTGTTGCCTAGGAAACTAAACCGTAAAAAATTCTAACAAACATTGTTATTATTGTCTGACGCGTTCAAAAATACCTGGATGTTGACAGTATCACTGATAGCTGGTTAGCTGGTTTCCAAAGCAGGTGTTCATGATATGCAAAGTGGTTTTCTATTTTTATTATCGAAAGCGATGCTAGATATGAAGAAAACACTAGCAATGAAAAAGTTAAAACACAAACTACAGCATCAAATGAGTGTCGTATTTTACCCAATATTTTTGACTATGGTGCCTACTGGACTTAATAATTTCAAGCTAGTTAGGGCTATATATACAGTATCTCAGAAATGAAGCACCAACAAAGTCATCATTGACCTTCACAAGAAAATAGAATATCAAATCTTACTCCACTATCGCCCCAACCAGCCACAATGCCCGTTTTGTTGACTGGTGTACCATCACTAGCTTTGGGTAGCTGGACCGGTCGAGCAGTTTCACTGAACTGAATGGGTTTTTCCAGCTGAAAAATATGAAAATATGATTTGAGTATGATCTTTGAAAGCAAGCATGCAGAAATGTTCATGCTCAGAGTCTGACTCGGCCAAAATGTTGAAAGTATATCCTAGGATCATTACAGAAAAATATTGATTGATATTCGGGATTTTCATTGCACGGCATTATTAAGATGGCTGCCAACTTCAGCTGGTTCATTGGTCTGTGTATAAACTAAAGCATGAAACATGCTTTTTTAATTTAGGGAAGAGCTGAAGATTGATAGTTTACCATACTGGAAGTGATGACAAATTTGTACAAGGAGCACTGTTGGCTTTTGAAATCACAAAAAGTGGAGAATGCTACAAAAATATCGATGGAAAATTTTTCGAAAAGTGTAATACAACATCTAAAAGCTACATCTGAAAGCTACTCAAAATGTAGCTTTCAGCAATAGTTAATGAGCAGAGAAAAATATGATAAATATTGATGAAATGGCTTGGGAGTAAAACAAAATCGTTTAAAGCTACAACCATGTTACTGCAAACTCAATCTCATTGAGTTAATTTGGGCTGATATTATGAATTTCATTCTGTGATTTTATTTAAATATTACTGGAGTGTTTTTCCAACACCAAATCGTTATTTTCAACACCTCGACACGTGTTTTGATCACCAAGTGACCATCTTCAAAGAGGAAGATTAAAACTAAAAATTAACGCGAAGCTAACCCTATTTATGCTATTTATGCTTATGGTTCACAAAAGAAAGCCGTACAATACAGGAAATAGCAGCCACTAACGTTTTCTCGAGGGGTATCGTAGATGACATAATAAGGAAGAAGAAGTTTAGGTTGAGAATGAACGAAATCTCGACTTTCAGAAAGGACAAAAACCAAGATAAATACATCTCAGTTCCATACCACCAATATACGAGGAACTTCGGAAAGATTTTCAAGGAACTAGGTATGAAGGTGGTTTTTAAAACAAGTCATACACTACAGAGCCTATTGGGAAGCTCAAAATACAAAGTCGAGAATTTGGAAAAGTCTGGAATTTACGAAATTGAAAGTAAGGACTGCGATGCAAAATATTATGGACAGACAAAAAGATCTATTAAAGTACGAAATAAGGAACAGCTAGTACACTTAAAATATGGAAGACTTGAAAAATCAGCAGCCGCCCATCTAATTTTGCAACAAAACCATTCCATAGACTTCAGTTCATTAAGATTCGTTAGGCAAGTTAACAACAATAGGCAACTAGATGCCTATGGGAGTGTAGAAATAAGTAAACACAATAATATTATGAATAACGATGGCGGACCTATACCAAAGAGCTTACTATATAGCTTCTTCAAAAAAATCTAAGTGGAATTTCGAACCATCTAAAACGTTTTTGTATTTATAGGAATGTCGTGAAGAACACGAATTCAACAAATCAGAAAGGTTATTGAATGTCTCTATTACTTGAATTGTACCAAAAGAAGAAGCAGAAAGTAAGTTCATTGCCACGAATGCATTCATTCCACTGGCAACTGTACGGCTTAGAACTTGTGTTGCTAGACCCACTTTCATTTTTTCAAAATTGTTTGGATTGATATGTTATTTGGTAAGATTTGGTGCGAATCTATAAAATTGCCCTATGTCTTGCTCATAGAAAGAGCGCACAAAAGACCAAGATGTACTTTTGCCTTTAAAATGAAATGAATGTTTTGAAAAATTGTATCTAGTGGCTTTTATCAAATGACTTGGATCAAAAATATAAACAAGTTTTTTACCACCGAAGAAAAAAAAGCAATCGGTTGTTTCCAGGGAGAATAAAGTCCTCTAGCTATAATAACGAGAACATTTCTACAAATGGAATTCCTCTTATTTGCCTCTCCAATATCTTCCAAACCAATAATTTCATTACACCCTATCAAAAAAAAGATTGGATTTTAAAGCCATTTCATCTATAGATATCACACATCACTTGTCCTATTCGAGCATTGTTTTAATTTTAATTCCAAGTGCCTTAAGAATTGCTGAATTTTCTACTGTTTCTCTCACGATGGATTCTTCAAAACTAATTATCTCCTGAAAACACTTGCTTAAATAGCATAATTTCAATGTATACAGAGCTAGGTAGGTACCTTTTGTAACTAACTATCTACCTCATTATGTTTGCTCAGTGCTCACAGGCTAATGGAGACAACTAAGCCCGAGTATGACGTGCAGACAACCAAGTCGACGCTTGCGTCTAAGAAAAAGGGACACAAAATGGCCGTCTTTATCGCTTCTCTCTGGTAGGTATTCTCGGACACCGAGCTCCCGACCCATGGAAGATGACAGGAGAGCCGTGTTATCAGCGTCCAGGGATATTTCCACACGCTCAGACCTCGGAAGGTCACTGGTGTAAAGTGAGTACAGCCTAGGGGAGAGAACGGCCCCCTGTGGCACTCCAGCGAGGATCTCTCTGTTGTCAGACAGAGAGCCCTCTACTCTAAAGTGAAACGTTCTGTCTTTCAGGAATAAATGTTCTTTTGAGTATGATTTCTTTATATTCCCTCCTGTTGAGCTGAAATGAAAATTTGTTTTGTTATGGAGCCCGTCATTCAAATGAAGTCATTTTCATACTTTTAGGGTATGGTTCGGTAGTTGTTTTGCATATTTCTCAAAACACAAACAACTTCATGAGAAAAAACTAATGATTTTTTTTTCATTTTCTTATGTGTGGTCATTCATTTCAAGAACAAAGAAAGTAGAAGCCATTTGGAAAAGCGTTCTCAGTAAGTTTATTCCACATAAACGCCCTTCTCCATATGAAAGAGTTCTTAAACAGTGAAGTTCAAGGTGTACTGACTTGAACCTCCAAAAGATGAATAGCCACAGTTTGTCGCGTATTTCAAATGTGCCAAGTCACTTGAACACTTCCCGTGAAAGTATCTATTGGAGAGAGACAAATCTCCAACCTTTTTCGATTTTTCAGACTATCAAGGTTGCAAGTGATGTTTGTGTCTCAATCAGGCGGGTGGCTCTCTTCTAAATGGAATCCAACAGCTTCAGGGTATTCTTAGAGACGGAGCTTCATACATGAGAACAATACTCCAAAGAAGATCTGATCTGAGCTTTGTAAAACATTAAGAGTTGCTGAGATGTGTCACTATTTTTCCTCACCTTTAATAAACCGATGTCGTAGTGAAGAGGAGACATATCCGTAAAATTCTTGTGTCGAACATACTTGATTATATGAATCTTATCGCCTTCGTAAATGGTTGAATTTCCATATCTGATATATGACTCATCTGTTATCACCCTGAAATATACAGAAGTATTAGAAATTGATTATCTAGCAAATTCAGTTATCACGTTTCAAATGCTTTTTTCAACCATATTAGAGAAAATAAGTCGATACATACAGGGTGACAATTTGTAAACTCACAATGGCTATATGTGAGCAACCAAATAAAATATAAGAAATCGCTGAAAAAAACTTCCGTAATAAGGAGGGGGTAACGAAATGATGTAATAGTTAAATTGTTTCCACTAATCTCGTTAGTGAAAACAACGAGCCATCCTAACTTTATCTTCTTGAAGGGCAACCCCTTTCTTGTGATATCTCATCTAAAAGCTCTTCAATGGTACTCTACAATGCTACATTATAAGATAATAATAGGGAAGAATATGTCTTATTTAAGGGTTCCCTAGATCCATGGAGCAATCTCTTCCTGATTTTTTCTTATGGGGCAACCTAAAATCTGTTTGTTTAAGACACAACTAGACTCAATACAGCAATTGAAGGCAAGGATAATCCTAGAATGCCCGAGCTATTCGAAAAAAAAACTGTTTAAAATCTGTTTTTTCGTTAATCAGCTGTCGCACCCCTACGAACGACAACCCTCAGAAGTCGAAACTTGTACGAGCTACGGATTAACGAGGTCTTAACTTTTAACGTGTGATTCCTAACACGGGTTGGGCTATAACGAGTGAAAATCGATGGTCAGACTAGGGCCCGAATCACCGACCAACACGGCAGTCAATTCGAATAAGTGAACAAAGCACCCACGTCGAACCGCCTGGCTACTGACCGACCTAGCCAGTCTCTTGCTAAATTGATAAATGTAATATTCACAAGTGATATTTTTCCTGATGCATTTAAGCTATCAAAAGTTATCCCTTTGTTTAAAAACGGAGACATCTCTCTTGTTAACAATTATCGTTCCATTTCAATAACATCCATTTTTAGCAAAATAATTGAGATTATTAAACAACGTCTTTACGCATATTTTGTAAAATATAAATTATTCAACGAATCTCAGTTTGGTTTTCGTAAGTACCACTCTACAGCAGAGGCAGTTCTCAATGTGGTGAAGTAGTCGACAATCTCGAGCAAGGTAACCACACAGCTATTACCTTCTGCGACCTCTCTAAGGCGTTCGACTACGTCTCTCACAACATATTATTGGGAAAACTTTATTACCATGGCGTCAGGGAAGTATCTCTATCCCTCATAAAATCATATCTATCGAATAGATATCAAGCAATGAGTAGCAATAATTGCATTTCGAATTTAAAACTCGGTAAACATGGTGTTCCCCAAGGATTAGTATTGGGACCACTTCTGTTCATAATTTTCGTAAATGACATTAGTAATTTCATGCATCCATATAAATCTGTTTTGTTTGCCGATGATACTATATTTATTTACTCTGACAAAAATTCTATTGAACTATCTAGAATATCAAAGGAAGCTTTCCCCCTACATCAAGTGCAAACAGTGTTGAATTACTTGGGTTAATTATCGATAGTACTTTCACTTGGACCTGTCATATTAACCAATTGAGTCAAAAATTATCTAGAACCCTTTTTTTATTGCGTCAGTTGAGAAATATAACTAGTTTCGATACACTGAAAATAACATATTTCTCCCTCTTCCATTCTCACATTAGCTATGGTGTTATAGTCTGTTATAGAATAATTACTAACTCTGGGTATAGGGATCATTGTCTACATTTGTTTTTGAAATTGAGAATAATGCCGTTACTCACATTATTTTTGTTCAACATTCCCATAGAAATTCATAAAAAATCATTATCAAGCAATCAGACCTTCATGACTATGATACCAGACATTTTAACAAATTTCGGACAAACCGCTATCGTTTGACTAAATCACAAAAAAACACACTGAATTTCAATCTCTATAACTATCATCCTGATAGTTTCAAAATTCTTAGTATGTCCAAATTCAAAAAAACAATAAAAAATTATCTTTAGAGTTTTTGCTTCTACTCTGTCGAAGAATACGTGAATCATTTTAAATGTTTATAATGTCAACATACATACTCAATTTTTCTCTTATATTTTTGTATTTGTGTTTAACGTTTGTTTTTATAATATTTTGATAGTTAACAAATTACTTTCATGCAATTTTTTGACTTGCTACAAACATTTTATTATGTTACGTGGTGAAATAAATTATCTTATCTTATNAATAAAATTGTTATTTTCAGTTAATCTTTTTAATTTTTCAATTGTTTTTTTCAGGGTTTTCAAATCAAATCATATTATGTTAGACAATGGAAGTCCGAACTGATGAAATACACCACGAAACATTGTCAACCACCTTCAAACAAATAGCCAATGTGAGATTCAAGTAACCCCAAACTAACTAACTCCAAACATGTCTACTGCAAAGTTGATTCCAGTATGGAAAAAATTGGTAAAAATATACTTTTTTCTGACACACACGCAGTTGTTTTTTGATGACAATTTCAAAGTCAAATCGGGTTTAGTAGATGTATTGTCTGAACCACTTACCTATATTGACAGTGTCCCGCTGTCAATATAGTATATTCATCAATAATCGAACCACCACAAGCAAAACCATCCCAGTCAAATACTGCTACCTGAAATATAAATCAATGAAACATGAAGTAGCTGACATGAAATCAAACGACTTTCAATCTTAATGTTTTCATTTACCGTTAGTTGACCAACCCTCTGTATTTGGTAAAAGCATGGGCGCTTTTCTGCTATATTTTTTGTACATCTAGCGCCCATGCAAATCAAAATACTTTTATTGACAGGTGTTACTTTATTTCACAATAGACAGTTTCGCTTCCTTTGGCTTTCTACGCAGACTAACTCGCAGTTGCGCCGCTAGCCTTTTTATATGCAATACTGCCACCTCGAGGTGATCGGAATACATTAGCTAGAACCAGAACTTTCTCGAACCAACGCGGTAATTCCAACTATTTAATTACGCCTAATGTCACCCAGCGGGTAGCTGAAAAAGATAGTACATAATACCACTGCTCGCCACTAGATGTCGTTAAGTGTCACAATACACAATAATAATTGAAATGCAAAAAAAGCGTAAGTTTGCTAATGTCTCGCACTTTGCGACTATCCTAGTCTAGAAATATAGTTAAGGGCGGAAATTGGCCCTTGGAACAAACTGGAAAAATCATTATGGCCCGTAGGCTGCAAAGTTTGGAGACGCCTGGTTTAGACTGTTTAGAGAAAGAAATTCACAACGAATTGGAATTCTTAGACGCATTGGTGAAGAGGACCGACACTAAATGGGAAACATCTGTATACCAACAACCCACTCACACGGGATGGTATATGAATCAGGAATCCAACCATCATCAATCGACTGAGACATGACTCATCAAGAGTCCGTGATTTTGGGCCTCTAATACGGAGGAAGGTCTCGAGAAGAAACTAGGCATCATCAAAAAAGATTTTTAACGGAATGGTTACTCCAAAATGATGATAGAAGACAGCAAGAATAAGAAGAATTGGGTTCAAGTATCCGTAGCAGCCTCACGAAATCCAAGCCGCCAAACGAGGACTGCCATTCCAATAGAATTGTATTCACCGGATACCTTGTGAGTGCGGGGAATCCTACATCGGTGAAACTAAGCGGTACGAAGGTTTGCCCCCTACGATTTCTTATGAAAATGCTTTTGCTGAAAGAATAATCCCAACAGCTAGCTCCAGCGTTATAGCATCGTCCTCTTCACTTCAAGAATTAAACGTTAATGACCATAAAATTGTCAACTCAGATAGTTCAAATATACTACGAGTAGTTCTAATTGTATTTTCCATATTGATGTTCATAAATGACAATAATAAAGTAATTAATGTATATAATACGTTTGTAACAAAATTTAATTGTGTATACAGGGTGTAACATAAATACCTTAAAATATTCAAGTGACGTATTCCTGAGACAATTTTAAGAAAAAAGTCTATATGAACTTGTGTCCGAAAATGCTTTCTTTCGGAGATACGGGGTGTTCATGTAACATCTAGAAGGCGCTGCGTACGCTGTCATTATTTATTTCAAATTGCCCTAACTTTTTTGACAGTGAAGTTTTGGTTATTTTCATGAAAAAACCTAATTCCTACACCTATTTCAAGTAAAAAAGGTACATGTCCTCAACAACGCTGGAGGTGAAATTTGATTTCAATAATTTTTGTCACTCTCCACTTGCATATTAAGTTAATTAAATCGAGTAGGCTATGAAAGTTTATTTATAAAAACTGAAGTTCGCTGTCACATTTTTAACTATTAATTGACAAATTCATAATTTGGAGTTCATAAAGTGATTTTTTGGTACCATGCACGGCTTTAAGAATGCTGAAATAATAATAATAAATCGTTTTTATTGGTGAAGGTACAAAATAGGCGCAGTTTAGCCAAAGGCTACTCTCACACTTAACCTAAAATGTACAATTCTAATCAACTGAAATGATAAATACAGAGAAAGACACGATAAAAAAAACGCATCACATGATAATAATTTATATCATAGGTATCTAGATGACATATTGTGACAAGGTGAGTAAAGGTAAAAGGTAAATTCAAGACACGGTAAATTCAGGACATGGCAGACATACTTTTTGCATACGGCTTGGCTGACGGAAATTCAAGCGAGGCCAGACGCATCTATCAGAAAAGGTGTCCCCAACGCGTGACTCCTTGTGCAGCGACATGTGCGAATCTTTTCCGGCGACTTTCCGAATCTGGAAGCTTTGAAACAAATTCTGCAGTAGGACGGCTACGGACTTTAAGAACTGTAAACTTGGAGAAAGTGGTTCTCGAAGAAATTAGGGAGCATCCAGAGAAAAGTAAAAGAAAAATTAGCCAAACTTTAAATGTGAGTCACATGTATCAAATTTTCTCAATGGCTTCAAAGAGAAGTCGAACAACATCCGCAAATTTTATCGAAAATCCTTTTCACAGATGAGGCAAATTTTTCAAGAAATGGTATCATGAACTTCCATAACAACCACATTTTACCGCTTCCGAAATAGCTATAGTGGGATCAGCTATTATAAAAAACACGACCCGTATGATTGCCGTAAGAGTAATATCAGCAATAAGTGGAAAAAACCTCAAACAATGGTGTAAGACACTTTGGATATTAGTGTGCATAACATCGCCCTAACCTTGAGAAAAATAGTGGATTGAAAACCAAAAAGAAGTTCAATTTGAAATGACTTACTATATACGGAAAATTTTTTATATCAGCTGGGTCTCCTCCAATTATTCCTAGATTTCTGGCATCTGCAATGGAAAACAATACATGCTTTGAATTCCCTACTTTCATAAAATCATTATTGTGACTTTCCATCTTACGATTATTCACTATTTATGTATTTTTCTGCGAAAATTCATACTTTGAGGGGAGTCATGAATGGTTTCCATTCTTGAATGAAATTATTTGAACAAAAATTAGATTCATAAATCATTTTCAATCTTGAAGGGTACCGTGAAGGTTCCTCACGAAATCAAAGTGATCTCTATTCGAAGGTATTAGATGAATAACTTCGAATTGGCGTACATTGTGTGGCGTACATTAGTACAATGTACGCCACTATCATAGACGTAATGAAATTTTCAATTGATATTGATAAAATCAAACGAAAACGAGTGGTTCCTACAAACTTGCCAAATAAAAAATGTACTGAAGAACTGAAATTATTCAACAGATTAAACAGATTTTTTCATTTACTTACTGACAATCGTCACAAACAGAACCGAAAAGAGTATATACCACATTTTGCTCAAAGCACTTTCTTAGTACAAGTTACTTTATATATACACTGTCTCTATGGGATATTATCTAAAGCACCACTTGAATGTAGTGAGCACTTATTGATATCTGATTGATTGATATCTAAACCCATGATGATTTTTGTCTGACGCAATTCACAGGCCAACAAAAAAAATATTTGTGAACACTTTTTGAGAAATTAATCTAAATTTTATGCATTTTTGTATGGTGAAACCGTGTTTCACCGCACTATGATATCGATTTATTACTGGGAAAAAAATAGGCAAAATTTTATAAATACAAAATTAGCAGCTCATAGTTTTACAAATTGGTAATATTTTCGCATACAATCATATTCAATTACTCAAATTATCATATAAAATGCTTAAATTATAATATTTTTTTTATATTTCCCCTCCCTTTTCTCCGTAAAATTTCTTGCTTAGCTTTTTCGCCTAGGAATTACGTTTTGTTGTTCTCTGTGACGGGACCAACAGTCTGTCTGTCTGTAGAGTAAGAAGGGTGAGTGTAGGTCCACAGCACTTAGGCCATATGTGACCCATTGTACATCCTCCCAAGGAGTTGTCCTCCTACGTCATCGTCCATCCTGGTGGACGGGACACCATCTCAGGTGTAGGCCAATACTCGCCGAAAACACTCTCGTATTGACTCCGGTCACTCGCAAAAGACGTGCCTGATAGTTTCATTTTCCTTTTCACACATCCTGCATAGAAGTGTGCCTACTAGCCCCATGTTGTGGAGGTGTTTTCTTAGTTGAACGTAGGTTTTTCCTGGCCATCGCCAGATGGCCAGGAGTCGTGCCCTTCAACCCACCTCAGGATAATATTATCTACGTACAGACTGTTATGTTTTTCCAGAAATTCCTTTTCTGGTTATTATTTTTGTGGCGATTGAGATACCAGCCAGTTTTGTTCGAACCACGCTGATATTTTTTCCCATTCCTCACTTGATCTTTTTTGGTTTTAGAGCCTCAAACTTCAGTTTGAGAAGAGCCTTGATGATGACAGTACAACCAGCTGTCGAAAGGGCTCGCATTTAATTAAGGAGTTATAAAGCTTTTGTAACTTATATCAATATTAAAGTACTGAAAATAAAGAAAAAGTACTTGCATCATTCAAAATATATATACAGGGTGTCCCATACAGTGTCACCGATAAAGTCCGCATCAAATCTGAAACTTTTTTATTTATCGTTTTATGTGAAATTTGATTTTGGCAGTAGATTTTGCTTAAGAAATGATGTCAGATGGCGTCTACAAAATAGGTCACGTGATTTCCTTAACCTGTCAAAATTGACATTTAAAAAAAGAAACATCGAAAAATGACATTATTCTTCAAAATATCCAAAAATATCAAAGGATAAAAACATTTTCTTTTGTAATTTTATACCCACA